AAGTGGGAGAACTTGCACAATTGGTGGCTGACTAAATACTTTTTTGCCCCACTGTAATTAGGAGCATAGGAAACACAATCAATCAATAAACCAACAAATCCTAGATGGAATTATATTTGAGCAAGTGCAAGTACAACTAAGTCACATTTGAGCAAAGGGTCACTTATAGTCTGAACGTCATTAGAAGAGATAAAATAGTAAAACCTCTGCAATTATTTCAAAGCACAAGTCTGAATACTGTTCATTTCTACACTGATTGATGCATGTCCATGAATTAATCTATCAATATTATTTATTGTGTGAATAATGCACAATTAGTGTGCATCATTCAGTGCATACCAAACTTTTTAATATTACTTTTTCCATCAGAAACCATTTAAATATTCTTAGCATTCTAAAGAGTGAAGTAAGGGTACCTCATTTCTGTAGTGTTTGCTATGATTAGGCAAGCTGCCCACAGAATTATAGGAAAGGATAACAAAATCTTCACATTTAAAAGCTATTTCTTTGGCACAGAACCTTGTTATTTTTTATCTGTTTGGGCTGTTTGGCTTGTTTTTTTAATCCTCAAAGCCAAAATCTATTATTGAGTAAATACACTCAATAATACAGTACAGAATGTTCTGACTTTGAAATGACCCATTCCAGCCTCAGGAAAGTCCATTCTAAATGCTCCAGAAAGGATTCCACCTGTCAGATCACTTCCAGAACTCTCAGAATCAAACCACTTTTAGAATATCCTGAATTGGTTCATTTCGGGTCTGTGCACAGTTTAATACAAGTTTAATTATGACCAAGCTAACAATATATAATCTTGCAAAATCATCTGTTACATTTAGTATGGTATACGGTATTTTCATCACATTACAGAGAGATACAAAATGAGCCCTAACATTTCAATCACCTCTAGTTACCATTAACCTTTAAAAAAAAAAAAAATTACTTATATGTATTGGGATGCTCCTCCATTTGCTTCATTTTCACTCTTTGACTGTAAATATTAGTGGACAATTCCAGCCTCTGGCTACTAGCATTCCATATGAGTATGCATTATATAATTTTAATCAAGTCTTTTATATTTCCCTAAACCAACACAATAGGATACTTCTGAATCTGACAAATTGAATATTTGAAAATACATAACTTTCTTCTAATATGAGTTCCAATTGCTTCTGTTGCCTCTTTCATCACTTTCCTTAGGCAGATACACACAAGCTGTCATCCCAGGGCCACACATAGCCTCTCAAAACAGGGATGCAACCCTGACAGATCCTGAAAGGTTGCCAAAGCTACCTAACCCTTAAGGAGCTGCCACCAAATTATTACTTTAGAGTCAGGGTTCAATTAAAATTAAAATTTAATTTCAATTTTGTTTAAATTAAATGCATTTTTTCCACCACTCCCTGCTTTTTGATACACTCCTGCTCTAAGGTATACTTTATGATGGCAAATATAATGATGCAGAACTACAAGGTGATCATTTGTAACTTAATCATATACACAACCCAGCATGAATCCCTTCCACAATATGAATCTCTTTTAGGGTTGTAAGCTACTATATGGTACTATTTTATTTCTTGTACAATATACAGGAAAATTTTAAATGCTTAGTAATATTTACAGAAGGCATCATGTTTTCATTCTGGATGTTAATCTGGCGGAGAAGGCGCCTTTCGTAGTCTTGATCCATGATGAACAGGTGCAGGAGAGGGGGAAAAAAAGCCCAGGTGTCTTATAATAGCCTCACACAATCTTTTGTGCATGGAGACCAGGGGATGACCAATAGACTGCAAAGAGAAAGGCAGAACCTGTCAAACTCCAGGCAGTTACAGGTGAAATGTTAAAACCACCATCTGTTACGATTGTGAGTTCTCCTAATTCCCCTTCAAGTATTAGATGACACCTATTTTTCACTCAGTTACAATGGATTTATACATTGTGCAAACTGCCCATTTATAGACATGATCAGCACTCAAGCTGATCATCCTATGTAGAAATTAGAAAAGTTTTCCCTTGCTACAAATACAAGCAAAACAGTTGTGCAGCCAAAATCTTCTTACATTTTTAAAATCAGGCTCATTGGCATTCTTTCATTAGCTGAGCAGATTGGCTGGGACTTTAATTCCAAGAAGTGTTTGTTCTCTGTACAACTAAAGTTATCCAATTTAAACAATCACACATTTCCTCTGTGACATCTCCATTCTCATGTTCTATTTTAGAGAGTAAGTTCCTCAGTTCTTACCTCTTTACATGTTATAAAACATCATGGATAGTGGTTGTATTACAGAAAGATAAACATTTCACAATTTCCTTACTATTTAAGATAGAAAGCTTAAAAAAAAATCCTGAGAACTAAAACTTACAAAGTTTTCACTGAATTCTGCAGTGTTTCTGTGTAAAGCGGTGGTGGATGTACTCACGACCCTTCAGTGCCTGAGCATACCTACCCACCACTGCAACTTTAAATTACCAGAAGCCAGTAGTATGAGTATGAGGAATGCACAACCAACATTTTGTTTGCAAAAGCATTAATCCAATGTTTATGGCATAAGAAACCAAGCTTAATTCTTATTCATCTATAGGTAGAAATGTGAAGAGTCAGAAAAATATCCTCTTTCCCCACCTGAAATACTAGAAATTTGTGAAAGTAATGAAAAACACTCTTACTTTAATTTTCCATATTCAAAATGTGTAGTATAAAGATTTTTTAATCTAAGGCAATTTTCAGCAATCCTATATACGTATATCAGATGCCTGCCACACACAGATCTAAAATGCATTTCTGCACCTCAGACAGCTGCAATATAAGGTACTGTATTCCTTGCTGCTTTGAATGATCTATGATCTAGTATGGAGATATTACTGACAAATGAATTTTTCCTTTCAATCTGTCTCTCCCTTCTGGTTGACCTGACACACAGCTTGAAGTTATCTATCTGTAAGCTCCATCAACCAGGAATAGGCATCTGAATCAATTTACTCAGGCTTGCTCTGTAAATTCCATAAATGTGCCACTTCTAGACCTCCCTTAGGCATGAAAGCCAGCTGGGTGACTTTGGGCCAATCACTCTCTCTCTCTCAGCCCAATCTACCTCACAGGGTTGTTGTTGCAGGGAAAATAGGAGGCAGGAGTATTAAGTATGTTCATCACCTTGAGTTGACCAAAATATATAAAAGGCAGGATAAAAGTACTATTATTGTTGTGATTATTCTACTGTCTGACTTGTTAAGTCGGCAACATTTGTTGCCCTCAAAGTGTGTTGCATTAACATTCCTAACAGATAATATTTGCCTGACAGAGATAGTTCTGGCCAATGATAATATGAAAAGCCAAATTAAATTATAAATATATATTTTATGTTAACAAAGCAGTGAATTAAGTTTGACAAGAAAGAAATGCATATTGTGTATCCTCTATTGTTTTTTCTGAAGAAAAAAGAAGGGGGAATGGGCATTTTTCTCCTATGGCTTCAACATTCCAAAAACATTCACACATATATCCAGTCAATCCTAATCATCATCCATCAAGTGCACCCCTACTTAAAGTTCTCAAGCTTCCTTTATAGCACCCAATTCCCCACTTGTTCAATTGACACAATGCCTCCCCATCCACCAGGAGATAGGGTTCAAACACAAGTTTGATGAAATTAGACATTTCCACATCTTAACACAAAACGTTTTTTAAAAATGCAATTCCTAAGTGTACAGTGTTAAGTAAACACAACTAAGCATAATTCCTCTCCCAGGCTTTCCTCTATGCAATACATTTTGCGGGGGGGGAGCTGTGTTTAGCATCTACCGCTGTACTAAGGATGGAGATAACCAGCAGGGATTAGAGAGAAACTGGGAATTAACCCCCAGCTTCCCAGTCAGCACCCGCATCAGACTTTCTCACTCCCAAGAGGAACCCTCCACACGGCAAATCGGTTTTATTACAGAGAACAAGAGATCCTCCAGAAGAGGCCTGTAGCGGAGAGGTCCCCCGAGCTGCCTTCATCTCCTCCTTATCCACCCACCGCCTTAAATCCCTGTCAGCCTGGACGCTCCCGTAATAGACACCCCTCCCACTGCATCCAAACCCAGGCAGCCTCGTCGCAACACCACATGAGGATGCTACAGAGTCTCTCTCCAGAAGCCCCGCGCCCACTTTCACCTGGGCGTGAAGGAGAAAAAATGGACCCACAGGTAGGAAAATAAAAACCCTCCTCCCTCTCACCTGCCCTCAGCGAGAGCCATCCAATATGGCGCCGATCCGACTCTCTGCCCTCCCCTTTTCCCCGCCCACTCTTCCTTCCTCATCACCGGTGCGCAAGGCATCACGGGAACAGAAGGCCGCAAACCGGCCCCCCTTCCCAGCCTCGCTCTCTGATTCGCCTCGTTCGAATCAATACAACCCAGAGGGAGCGTGGCCCCGTTACCCCTAGCAACGGTCCCGAGGCCTAGCTGTGATCCACCGAGCCAGCTTAGCACGCTATGCCGAAGCATAGAAATACGAAAAGGAAAGTGGGGGAGACGTAGCAAATTGGGTCGGGGAACTGGATTTTGTCTCCCTTCTTCCGTATAGAAATCCGATGAATAACAAAACAACGGGCGTGAGGAAGGAGGGGAGTTTATAACATTGGGGTGGTTTTTAAAGGAAACGGGGAGGGAAAAGTGGCTCTGAAAACGTGACTGACTACTGAACAACGGTTTTGTTCATTCGTGTATTGGACGGAAATTCATAAAAAAAAATAAAACGAAATTTGAGAGAATCTGTGATGTAACAGTTAATATCTGATCTTTAAATGGCCTTCTGCAAAACCTCTGGATGTTTGCCTGTTTCTCAGCCTATTTTACAGCAAGATTGGAAGGAGAAAATTGAGAGGAAGGGTAGGAAATTGTGGGGAAGACGACATAAAATATTTTGAGTTACAGATGTGACAAGGTTGTTAATGTTGACCATTAAACTTCTGGATAAATGCAGACTCAGCCACTGACAAGTTTATTAACAAGGCATTACCTGTATTGTAGATGGTATTTACAAATTAGGAAGTGCTGGTCCCTACCCAAAGGAGAAATTAATATAATATAATACAATATAATACAATATAATACAATATAATATAATATATAATGCTGTCTTAAGGAGACAGACTAGCACTTGGTAGAGCAGCCATGAAGGCCTTGGAAAGATGCTACTCAGATGCTGTAATGTGCCTATACCTACAAAGAACAGAATTGTACAAGTCATGGTGTTCCATGTGACACTCTGGAAGCAAAAGTTGGACTTTGAAGAAACAAGATAGGAAGAGTATTGGCACTTCTGAACTTTGGTGTTAGAGAAGACTCCTGAGAATACCGGGGACAGCCAAGAAAACAAACTAATGGATCATTGAACAACTCAACCCAGAGTTCTTACTCTAGGCACAAATGACCAGGCTCAAATAATCCTACTTTGAACGCATTGTACAAAGACCCAGCTCTCTGGAAAAGGCTCTAATGCTAGGAAAGATACTGTAGAAGAGAAGAGGACAACCAGCAGCAAGGTGGATGGACTCAGTTACAGAGGTGATAAGTGCACCATTGGAAGATCTGAAAGACCAGGTTAGGGACAGATCGTCATGGAGAAAATCTCTGTGTGGTCACTAGGAGTCGAAAATGACTTGATGGTGCATTATCATAAGGAGACAACAGTGAAGGAAAAGTTGAGACAGGGTAAACAATAGAAGAATGTTTATTTGAATTGTGTATAAGTAGGCATACTTGCTTATTAAGTATTTCCTTTAAGGGTACTTTCTTGGAAGTACATTGTATTGCTTTGTAACCAAGCTGTTGCAACATTAATCTGGGAATAAATCCCACTGAACACTAGAATATTAGTTAGGAACCAAAACTTCCAGAACACGGCCACACAGCCTGGAAGACCCACATCAGCCACTAGAATATTTATTTGTGAATAAATCCATTAAAAGCAGCCTGCAAAACATCAAATGTAAAATAAAAAGGATCCATTGCATTTGAAGTGGTTATTGGTTTTAAAATAGTTTTTTAAAAGTAAAGAAAACTTGAGACATATAGGCAAAACCATTCTTGTTGAAGTTGGCCACATAGTTCTATTTTTCATCTTAATTATTTCAGTTTGAACTGGAAAGCAGCCCACATAACACCACTAAAAAAGAAAAAAATTGTGAGGATATCCAGGTAAATTACAAGTTGGTTAGGTTAATAATTGTTCTGAGAGCATCAGTAGAATCTATTATTAAAGAAAATGGCTTCGGTACACCTATGAAACACCTCTGCTATATGAGCTGTATACCATTGGGCTTCCAGATGCAATTCAAGGGTAATGGCCTTAGTGGACTCAGAAGGCATGCCTTCTGTATCTTCATGCCTGCCCTTTGGAACAGCATACCCATCCCACCAGGATCATATGGCCCCAATCCTGCTGTCTGGCTCTTCCAACAGGCACTGGGCCATGACATTATGTGAATCCACCATCTGAATTAAGATTAATTACTGTTTTTCCCCTGCCATGATCATTCTTTAGTATTGTTTTAAAATAATTTTAGTACTTGTTTTAAGCTTCTGCCCAGAGTAGTTGGCAGAGGGCAATCTTAAAAATGGAAAGAATAAATAAATAAAATCACTAATTTGCTTTATGCCTCTCTTTTCTGTATCCAGTTTTCCTCCTCTGCCATCCATATGCAAAGTATCACAGGAAATATGTAGAAGGACAAGTCAGGTTTGAGAAGAATCCAGTTTCAGGAAATGTAAGACCAGTTACACTTACATTTCAGTATTCTTTTGAGAATGCCAAAGAGGGATTTGATAAGACATTGTAGATGCAAAAGTTTTGTATCTAGAATCCAGAGCAAACTTTGCAATTGTGGGATAATAGATGACAGTAGGAAGAAATTGACAATTCAGCAAAGAACTATGAACAGTGGTATCCCATGGGACTAGTGTTTTCAACTTATTTATAAGTGATTTGGAGTGAACAGAAAGGTTGTGACATTGATTTTTGGGAATGCCAAAATAAATGCAAAAAACTCCAAATTCCACTCCCTTTTTGAAAATAAAAGTTTTAAAAGTGGCAAATATGGATCATGTAAGCAGTATAAAGTAATGAGAGCCAGTTTGGTGTAGTGGTTAAGGTGCTGGCCAGCTGGGTGGTGGTTGCTGGGAAAATAGGAGGCAGGAATATTAGGTATGTAAGCCCCCTTGAATTATATATATAAATTGGATAAAAATACAACAACAACAACATCATCATCATCATCATTATTATTATTATTATTATTATTATTATTATTATTGGAAAAGGAAAAAAACAACTAAATGCACATAGTCATAAGATATAAGCTGCTAGTGACTGACCAAGAAGCTATCTTGGATTTACAAGAGTAAATGAAGATATTGATTCAAGGTACAGATACTCTTAAAACTGTTACCAGTCTGTAGTTGATTTGGTGATATACAAATGGAATGAATGAATGAATGAATGAATGAATGAATGAATGAATGAATGAACAAATAAATAGACCAGTTCCATACTGGAGATCATTAGGAAAAAGATAAAAGACCAGCCTGTCAAAACAACTTTGTGTTATCCCTACGAGGGA